CTGTATCCTTTCCTCTATCTATCAAAGTGGACATGCTATGGCTTCCCTTCTTCCTTCCAATATCCAGTGAAGACTTCCATGCAAATAGAAATATGTCTGCACAGATTTAAGAAACTAAGCCTGGGCTTGAGGCAGATCTTGTAGCAGCTTCTAGCAAGGACCCAGACTGAGACACCATTAGCCAAGAGCTGCTGGGGCTTGGCCTCCTGGATGGGGTTTTTATGATTTAGCCTTAGCTGTCCTTCTGATGCTGATGGGTAATGCTGGGGAGACTTTAGCAGTTTAGATTCCTTCAAAATCATTTGGACACTGCTGGCAACCAAGGTGGGTCTCAGAAACCAGCTCCGTTAAGAAGAGCCACCCACAGGCTCCTGTACCGTGTGGCCTGGAGAACTAGAACTGCATCTCACACCCAGAAGGGGAAACAGCCCATGGAGAATATTGGCCAGAGCTTGGCTGGGTACCACATAACCCCACATCTTCCACCTTAGATCTGTGAGGAAGATTCTGCCTGGGTCTGGGGGTCCTAAGTGGGAGCTGGGACAGTCCATGCATCCAACAAAAGGACCATAGAAAGAACTCTTCATTAGAGGAGAAGTCACCAGGAGAAAAATGTGGGCCTATGAAAAAATATACAGCCAAAAGGAAAGGAGGACGAGAAGGCAGGGCTTACATCTTATAATAACTGTAGCTCTAGCACCTCATAAGACCCACACAGATTCTGCCCAATAATATGTTAAGTGAATATGTGACTCAAGAGTATAACCTTCCTCAGCCATGGATTTTACAGGCAAAATTAGAATATTTGGACTTGGGCACTATATAAGGTACAAGAGAATACACCTATTAAATAAGGGCAATTCATGGGAAGAGACCCTGGTAAACAAAAAATACAGGAGCTGAGTTACAATTTGCACTAGATGCAGTAAATAGTAGACCTGAAAGTGCAAAAATCAAATGAGAGGTAGAAAGGGTCAGATGGAGAGGCATTCCCAGGATGCAAAGGAAAAGGGTGAGGACAGAGCATTGTGAAAACATGCAGGATGAGGACACAGAAGCTTCACTGAGGGGGACAGAGCATTGTGAAAACATGCGGGATGAGGACACGGAAGCTTCACTGAGAGGGACAGAGCATTGTGAAAACATGCAGGATGAGGACCACGGAAGCTTCACTGAGGGAGACAGAGCATTGTGAAAACATGCAGGATGAAGACCACAGAAGCTTCACTGAGAGGGACAGAGCATTGTGAAAACATGCAGGATGAGGACACGGAAGCTTCACTGAGGGACAGGCGTTCTCTGCCTCCCCCCCCATCCCCGCACCACACACGCATGCACACACTACAGGAAACAGGCAATAAATATATAAAAGAAGTAAACTCTTGATTGAAAAAAGAAAAAGACACAATAAAGGTAAAATGTGCAGTTCTGGCACTTCTTTCACTTTCTCCAGTGCTTATAGAGAATGTGATAATATTTATGAGTCCTCTGGATAAAGAGAGAAGGCTCCCAGACCCTGGTTTTAGGCATCAGAGTATCAGCTGCCTGTGGGCCACCCATGGCACATGGGTGAGCCCTAGACGCTCACGTAGGTGCCCTAGGAATGGTGACAAGGATGTCCATGAAGTGCTGTTTGTAATAGTAAAAAGTGGGAAACCATTGGGTGTTCACCAAAAGGGAGTGAATTCCTAGTGGATGGTGTGTCCTTGCAGTGGACTCTTTTACAGAACTTTAAATGAAGGAACCAAAGCTCTATGCATTAGAGCTGAAGAATGCAGTGTTGAATGGAAACGTTAACTGCATAATGACACATAGAATATGATGTCATTGTATCAATTTAAAAATGATAGACTGCTTATGGATATCTACATAAGAAGTAAAAGTATAAAAATGAGGAATGGATGGAGATAGGTCAAAATCATGAGACTCTCTAAGGGGCAAAGGAAATTGAGTGGGGACCAAATAGAATTCAACCTTTTCTGCACAGCTTATTTATTTTCTTTAAAGTTGGAAAGAAAAATATTCAAATGTGAGTATTTGTCCATTTGGCATATCCATAGATGAAAATTTATGTTATTCTCAGTAGCTGTCTATATTTTTCTGGTTGGTCTCTTTGTTTTTTTTTTTTTTTTTTTNCCTTGTGATGATCAATTCACAATACAAATTGCTTCCCTGGTGGCTCAGATGGTAAAGAATCTGCCTGTAATGCAGGAGACCCAGGTTTGATCCCTGGTTCAGGAAGATCCCCTGGAGAAGCGAATGGCAACCCACTCCAGTATTCTTGCCTGGAGAATTCCATTCTTCCTCCATGGAGGAGCCTGGTGGGCTACAGTCAATGGGGTCACAGAGAGTCAGACACAACTGAGCAACTTCACTTCAGGTCCCACTTGTTTATTTTTGCTTTTATTTCTTTTGCCTTGGGAGACTGATCAAAGAAAATATTGCTAAGAATTATATCTGAGAATGTTTTGCCTGTGTTCTCTTCTAGGAGTTTTGTGATGTCATGTTTTATATCTAGGTGTTTAAACTATTTTGAGTTCATTTTTGTGTATGGTGTGGAGGATATTCTTTTGCATGTGGATATCCAGTTTTCCCAAAGTGTACAGTTGAAAGATTGTCCTTTCCTTATTGAATCCTTGCATCCTTATGGAAAATCTATCGACCATATGTGACAGGGTTTTTTCCAGCTTCTCTACTTAATTTGCTTGGGTTGTACATCTGTCCTGCTAGCACTACACTGTTTTGATTATGGTAGCTTTGTAGTAAGCTTTGAAGTCAAGAGGTGTGAGTCCTTCAACATTGTTCTTTTTCAAGATTGTGTAGGCTATGTGGGGTCACTTTTCAGTACTTTTTAAATTTTCAAAAGAAAAGGCATAAGGCTGATGGGTAAACTCAGAATTTACTCTGTACTAGGCAAAAATTTAAGAAGGAAATCCACAGCCTGGTGGATGTTTTAAGTACAAGACATAAAAAAAAAAATCTCTAAGAATATAAGCAGAAAGTAAAGGTTACCCACAAATTAACAAAATCAGGGTGACTTTACTTGATGGTTTAGTATTAGGAGATTTAGTTCTATTGTGTCAATAGATCAAGTCTAATACCCATTTCTAAAAGAAAAATGTCTTCCTTATGAAGAACATAAAACAGTCATAAACTTTTGCCAAATTTTACAGCAGCAAAAACTTCTAAAATAACAAACAAAACTTAAAAAATAAAGAACTTAAAAACAAACCCTCACAATCATGTTGGTGATCTAAACAGAAAGCTTTTGGAATCTGACAATTCAGTAAACAAAAAAAGGTAAGGGAGTGGAGGATTTGAATAATTATAATAATAAGATCATATATAGATGTATCTTATATGTGTAAATGCATCTTATATGTACATATATATGCATCTCACATTATTTTGTCTTATATAAAACTTTAGTAAACACTCACAAAAGTTTATTGTTCACTTTATCAAAAAACAACCTTAGTAAGTTTCAAAAAGTAGAGGTTTCTTTAGGCCATATTCACTTACCTTAATTCATTGGAATGATAGCTGAATGGTGAAAAGATTACTTTAAAAAGAGTGTAACTAATTAAAAAAATAATAAATACTTTAAAACTAACTCCTCAAGGAGTAAATCAAACTGAAATTTAAAATTGTTAATACAAGGGGAACAAATTATATAAAACTTACCAGATACATTTAAAACTCTTCACAAGAGCAAACATATTTTGTTGGCGATTTGATCTCTGGTTCCTCTGCCTTTTCTAAATCCAGCTTGAACATCTGGAAGTTCTTGGTTCACTTACTATTGAGTTAAGATAGAGAACAATAAAGGAAATAAAATATAAAGGACAGCATAGGGAATTTTTTAAAAAGTAAAAAGTTAAAATACATAGAAAAAATTATAAAAATATTAACAAAAACCAATTTTAACTTTTATAGAAGAGTTGACCTCTGACAAGCCTGATTAAGATTGGGAGAATAGATGAGAAGAAGTTGAAATGTACAACATTAAGAACAAGAGATATGATACAACCACAAATATGAAAGAGATGAAAAGAATTATAAATGAATATGATATGCAACCATAGCAAGAGAGTTCCAGAAAAACATCTACTTCAGCTTTATTGACTGTGCCAAAGCCTTTGACTGTGTGGATCACAACCAACTGTGGAAAATTCTTCAAGAGATGGAAATACCAGACCACCTCAACTGCTTCCTGAGAAATCTGTATTTAGGTCAAGAAGCAACAGTTAGAACTGGACATGGAACAACAGACTGGTTCCAAATCGGGAAAGGAGTATGTCAAGGCTGTANCTGAAACTCCAATACTTTGGCCACCTGATGTGAAGAATCGACTCATTGGAAAAGACTCTGATGCTGGGAAAGATTGAAGGCAGGAGGAGAAAGGGATGACAGAGGATAAGATGGTTGGATTGCATCACCAACTCAATGGACATGAGTTTGAGTAAGCTCTGAGAGTTGGTGATGGACAGGGAAGCCTGGAATGCTGCAGTTCATGGGTTGCGAAGAGTCAGACACGACTGAGCAACTGAACTGAGCTGAATAGCAATACATTTAAAGAACAAGAGAAATGAATGATTTTTCAGAAGAGTATAAATTACCAATACTCATTCAAAAAGAAAAGAAAACTTGGCTAGATACATAACAATATGCAAGATTAAAGTGTGATTAAAAATCTATGCAATTAAAAGACACTCTTTGGAAGGAAAGCTATGACAAACCTAGACAGTGTATTAATAAGCAGAGACATCACTTTGCTGACAGAGGTCTGTGTAGCCAAAACTATGGTTTTTGCTGTACTCACGTACAGTTGTGAGAGTTGGACCATAGAGAAGGCTGAGCGTCAAAGAATTGATGCTTTCGAATTGTGGTGCTGGAGAAGACTCTTGAGAGTCCCTTGGATTGCAAGGATATCAAACCAGTCATTCTTAAAGGAAATCATCCTGGTTATTCATTGGAAACTGAAGTTCCAATACTTTGGCCACCTGATGCAGAGCTGACTCGTTGGAAAAGACTCTGATGCTGGAAAAGATTTAAGACAAATCTTAAATGCCTCTGGGATGGCAGAGGATGAGATGGTTAGATAACATCACTGACTCTGTGGACCTGGATCTGAACAAACTCCAGGAGATAGTGAAGGATGGGGAGCCTGGCCTGCTGTAGTCCTTGGGGCCACAGAGTCAGATACAATTTAGCAATTAAACAATAAGAACTACAGAAAGTCTGAGACTTAGTACAACTCAGTAATAAAAGACAAATAACACAATTTAAAAACGGCAGATTCTGAACAGACATTTCTCCAAAGAAGGTATGTAAATAGCCAGTAAGCATATGAAAACATGCTCGATGTCATTAGTCATAAGGGAAATACAAATCAAACTGCAGTGAGAGGCCACCTTTACACCCACTAGGATGGCTAAAATCAAAAAGTCAGATAATATTAAAAACAAGTGCTGGTGAGGATATGGAGAAATTGGAACCCTTATTCACTGCTGTGTGTTTGTGTACTAAGTTGCTTCAGTTGTATCCGACCCTTTGTGACCCCAAGGACTGTAGCCCACCAGGCTCCTCTGTCCATGGGATTTCCCAGGTAAGAATACTGGAGTGGATTGCCATTTCCTTCTCCAGGGATCTTCCCAACCAGGGACTGAACCCATGTCTCTTACATCTCCTGCATTGACAGGTGGATTCTTTACCACTAGTACCACCTGGGAAACCCAGAGTTACCATATGACCCTGTAATTCTACTCCTAGGTATATACCCAAAAGATGAAACACAAAAACTTGTATATGAAAATTATTATGGCAGCATTGTTCATAATAGCCAACAGGTAGAAATAACCCAAATGTCCATTGATAGATGAATAGATAAAACATATTATATCCATATAATAGAATGCTGTTTAGCCAAAAAAAGTAATAAATTCTGATACATGCTACAACATGGATAAACTTGTAAAACATTATGTTAGATGAAAGAAGCCAGCCCCAGATCATACAATTACATGGTTTGATTAATATGGAATGTCTAGAATAGGAAAATCTACAGAGACAGAAGGTAGTTAAGGGGTTGCTGAGGATTAGGGGTAGTGGTACTTGAGTTAGGGGTGATAGCTGAAGGGTACGGGGTTTCTTTCTGAGGTGTCAAAATGTTTTAAAGTGACTGTGATCATGGTTGCATGTCTGTAAATATACTAAAATGTAAATGTACTTTAAATGGATGACTCATATGCTAATGATTAGATCTCAATAAAACTGTTAAAAAGACTATGACTTACAAGTGCATCAGGTCTAGATGATTTAACATTGATTTTAGTATTAATAAGGCATTACTAGCTTATCTTCCCTCCTTTAATCTTAGGGGCTTAACACAACTGAAGTTTGTCTTTTACTCACATAGAGACCAGGTGTTCCTGGCTGTTTGGCTGTTTCCCAATGGTAACTCAGGAATCCCTGTTTCTTCTATCCTGTGTCTCCACCATCTTTAATGGATAGCTACTGGGATCACTGCAAAAGAAGACAGTGCAAGGAGGGTGGAAAATTGGAGGTTTTTCTGTCCCAGAACTGGAAGGGGCCTGCTTTTGCCCCATTCCATCAGCACAAATTTAGTCTCTTGGCACCCTAACAGTGAGAGTCTGAGAAACGTGGCCTAGTATAGGCCAGGTGGAAGAAATGTTGAGTTCTAACTAAATCTCTAAACACTGATCCATTGTTACTCAGATTATTCCAGGTTATTTTAAAAGATTGAAAATGCCTCCTATCCACTCTACAGGCAAGCATGATCTTAATAACAAAACTTGATGAATATGAACCAAATAACTAGAGACCAATTGTAAGGCATAGTTCCGGCAAGGCAGAAAAGGAAAGACGACCTCAACAGAAGTAGGTTACCTCTACTTAGGCAAGGAGGGGCGAGAGTCGGCCTAACGACCAGGCTGAGCGCCGAGAGGGAACAGGGAGGCTTCATGCTTATAGGGAGGTTTGTGGAAGTGATAAGGGAAACGTCAATCAGGCAGGATATTTTGAGTATTCTTTTGTTGAGATGACGTTTGTAGTTGGGCAGAAGGTGATGAGTCTTCTGGGCGGGTGTAGGGGGTGGTAGGTTTCCGGACAGGGGGTGATAAGTCCCAGGTAGGTGCAACCAGCCTGGAGCATCAGGGTGGAACTAAAGTTATACTTTGTTTTCTCCGAAGTTAGATGATTCAGCAAGGGGCCTTTGAGACTGTTATTCTCTTTTCTAGGTCCCAAAGACTCCTTCACCAATTGCACTTAAGAATATAGATGCACGAATTCTGAGTATACAGAATTTAAAATTAGGAAATTTATCAAAAGTGAAGAATAATTTAAAAGACAAAGATCACAAAATTTGGTCAATAACAGCCAAAAATACTACTGATAAATTCCTACTATTGATAAATAGTGATCCCTATAACAACTCTAACACAGGAATGCAAAGACTATCACTAAAGGCTTGGAGTGGAATGAAAATTGTTCAGGACAGGAAAAATATAGATGAAGTAAACACTTGATCCAAGTAAAAATGGGGCAAGTGAGACAGAACTGGGAAATCTCAGTAATCAACACACTGTATTTTTAACACTATATAAAAACAACAAAATAGAGATTTATGTAGTAATAAAAAACATTCTGAACCATGCCTTCTTCATAAGGTCCAGGAAAACTAAGTTTACATAAAAATAAACAATAAAAATACTGAGGTCAAATCTTGCTCAAATATAAGAAAAAAGAAAAGAGAACAAGGATCAGAATATTGTTGCTACCTCAACAAAAGCATAGCAGAAAGACAAACCTACACCAAAAAGTATACAACTGTAGCCTGTTATTTCAAAGTGGTTTAAAAAATGCATTAAGTAATTGATATAAAACATGAAAGGTTAACTTAAATTAGTATTAGAAAAATCTGAAATGTGATGGCAGAACCCCAGGAAAGAATTAGAAATAAAAGGAAAAACATCACTTCATAAATTAAGAATAAAACAGAAGGAACAGAGTGAATAAACACAACAGACAATGTATTAAGAGAAGCAAAAGTGACAGATATCAAAATGGAAAAAGAAGATCCAACATATTCCTGAAGAAGAAAACCAAAATAAGAGTACAGAATACTTAAAATTATTACTTAAGAAAACGTTCTTGAAATAAAGATTAGAAGCTATGTGTGAAGAAAAGAGCACACTATGTATCTGAGGGTATCAACCGAGAATGAACTGTACCAAAATATACTGTAAGAAAATTACTGGACTTTCTTGTTGCTATTGTTCCATTGCTGAGTCGTGTCTGACTCTTTTCAACCCCATGGACTACAGTACACCAGGCTTCCCTGTCCTTCACCATCTCATGAACATTCAGTCTGTAACAAGAATGACTGGAAAGAGTCTGGCAAGGGGCTTGACAGGGTTGGTGATGGCTGGATGTGGGCAGGAGGAGGTGGGGGGGGGGCAAGGATGACTCCCATGACCCCGGCTTTCTTGAGGGGGTGAGCAGTGGCCCTTCTGCTAGGCAGAGGGCTAAGAGAGGAGCAGAAGGCCTGTTTCGGAGTTGGAGAGTGGTTTTGGTCCCAGGCTGTGCAGACAGACTGGCTGGGTGTGAATCCCGACTCCCTCACTTACCAGCTGTGGTGACCTTGGGCAGGTCCCGTAACTGTCTCTGCCCCGGGGGAAGTGGCACTACCTCAGTCACAGGAGTGGGAGATTCCATGGAGGCAAGTGCCCACGCAGAGGGCCAGGACAGTGGGGCCCACAGGAAGCACTCAGCCGTGTCAAGAGTCGTCATCTTTATGGTGATGCAGATGATGCCACTAAAGAGGCTCCACGGGCAGCTGGCAGGAAAGGGGCTCCACTTCCGGAGGGAATGGTCAGCCTGAGAGTTAAAGCCTCAGCAACAGATGAACCCACCAGGAGGAGTGTGCCAGTGAGAGGGAAAGAGAAATGAGCCACGGTGAGACGCTTGAGGCCAACTAGCCTGAGGAAGCAGAAGAAAAAGGAAGAGGGAGAGATTCCCAGTGAAGGGAGTGAGTAACAGCATCCAGTATTTTTTTCACTTTGCCCATATGGTCCCCGGAAGTACTCACCCAGATATCTGAGTACATTGTGATCCATTTCCCCATCTCATCTTTCTAGCTAGAGAACTCTGAGGATAAGCAGTTCGTGCTTGTCCACGGTTCCAGATGATGTTGGGTAGCTCCAGGTCTCCACCATGGTTTCCGGTTTGATTGACCCTACCACTTACAGTGATCTCCTCGGGAAAGCCAAACTATCTATCCTGGTGTGTCAGCATCTGCCCTTCGCAGTCTCTCTCAGTCTGCTTTGCCTGCTTGCTTGCTTAGTCGCTCAGTCATGTCCAACTCTTTGTGACCCTGTGGACCATAGCCTGCCAGTGTCCTCTGTCCATGTGACTCTCCAGGCAAGAATACTGGAATGGGTTGCCATTTCCTCCTCCAGGGAGTCTTCCCAACCCAGGGTCTGCTTTATAAGGGCCCTAAATACCTTGGCCACCTCATGCGAAGAGTTGGCTCATTGGAAAAAACCCTGATGCTGGGAGGGATTGGAGGCAGGAGGAGAAGGGGACGACAGAGGATGAGATGGCTGGATGGCATCACCGACTCGATGGACTTGAGTTTGAGTAAACGCTGGGAGCTGGTGATGGACAGGGAGGCCTGGCGTGCTGCAGTTCATGGGGTCCAAATAGTCGGACACGACTGAGCGACTGAACTGAAAGCCTTAGAACTTGTATTATTAGAACTTCCCTCCGCCACCTTAAAATATGGGGAGTACTCTTAAAATCACATTCCGCCAGTGCCTACTTGTGGGATGGGTGGTGGTGATCTTGGAGCCTCAGAATCCAGCCCCCCAGCCCTGGCCCTGTCAAGGCCACTTCCGAGCTAGGCATGATGGTGGGGCAGAGACGAAGGAGTGCATTGTCAGGGAACCGCAGCTGCCCGGCTGGAGGCTGGGAGGCCTGAATAGCTTCACAGCTCTGGGCCAGCTCGCTGAATGGGAGCATGCCCCTCCCTGGCGGTGGCCCAGAATAGATGATATTTTCATTGCAAACTAACAAGGGGAGAAATCCAATTACCTTACAAAGGAGCTCCCAAGGGGCCTCACAGCTTAGAGAAAAAGGGAGGGGAAGGGAAGGGAGAGGGTGTATGTGTGCGTGTGGTGTGTGTGTGTGTGTGTGTGTGTGTGTGTGTAGGCTCCCACCCAAGCCAGGAGAAACAAAGCCCTAGGGGGCATGGGAGATAGGCTTGAAGGCTGGAGAGGTGGAACTGGGGGTTTTAATTCATTCCATTAGGCCGGAGGGTAGGCCAGGGAAGCTTTAGGTCCCTGGAAGCTCTGAGCAGACAAACCTCCTTCCTTGGCGACACATGGGTGGTGCAACTCCCCCCAGGCAAGCTCCAGCCTCTCTGAACCCCTCTCAGACTGGGATTTCCCAGATTTGAATCATCAGGAATTCATGCACACATTGCCACATCCTGCTAAACTATTAATCTTTTATCTTTAAATTTAGTTAGAGTGTGTTATTTAAGTTTAGATTTAAAAAGAAAAGTTTCTATCCTAAATGCAAATACAAAAATTGGAAGATAATTCTAAAATGAAAGATGATTCAATAACCAATGTTTTAAACCTCAACTAGGTATTGGGGTGACTGAGGGCTTTGGGTTTGGAAGCTGAGATAATCGAGGAGTGGGTGGGGTGGGAGTGGAAAGGGGTGGGATGTTAGCAAGTGTTTGCAACGAACAGTGATTTCTCCTAGGTCTAACCCAGGAGGATTAAGAGAACTGAAAAGGAACACTTCTCCTCTAGGCCCTCCCAGCCCTGGCCCCAGAGTGGCGGGCGTGGCAACAGCAGTCTAGGTGCCCGTAACCGTGGTTGCCCAACTGCTTAGTGGGGATTAGGGGCAATGTGGCGGTCTACTGTACTACTGGACAGACCTGCTTTCTGTGTTTTGTGGGGTGGCCACTGGGGTCCCTGAAAGTGTGAGTGGCCTAGGGGAGGGGGAAGATGATGGTGGTCCCAAGGCAACAAGAAAGTCCACTCTCCTGCTTTCCTCTTTGGACTTGGCAGGAAGGGCCACAGATCCCCTTTGGGAGGAAATTATCATTTGCTTCCTCCAGCCCAGCCAGAGCAAATCAGCCTTGAAAGGCTGGCCTGCCTCGAGGCCACACAGCTTGCCCCTTGTGGCACCTTCCTGGCCCCACTCTCACTACCCTAGTGAGTTGAACTCTCTGGCCCAGATGCCTGAAAATTAGCTTTCTGAGGCTCAGGGACCTGGGCTGGTGGTGTGTGTGTAGGGGGTACTTGGGATTATAGAGACCCCTCTGCCACAGACATCACCTGTTTCCAAACCACAGACATCACCTGTTTCCAAACCACAGACATCACCTATTTCTTCTGTCAAATGGAGGCTTTTAGGGGGAGCTTTGGTCCCAGGGGAGCTTGGGCCCAAGGGTGGGACAACACTAGCTCCCATCCCTCACTCTCACAGCCACCCCAAAGCTTGGGGAAAGTAAAGCAAACTGAGAAAGCGGCACTGCTCACTAGGGGCCGGCTCAGATTAAGCCCCGCCACTCACCACTGACCCGGGCAGGGACCACTGTGGGCTTTGGGGCTTCCTGCTCCCTCCTGCTCCTTGGGCCACCCCTGCTTTCAGGACGATGCAGGAGAGGAGGTTAGCAAGGGAATGCAAGTCTGAGTCAAGTCTTCAAAGGATTCTCCAGTCAATGAGATACTTGGGGAGGGAGGCAGAGTGGGAGGTTCAAGAATCGGGTGATCTGCACAGGCTGAAGCAGTCAAAGAAGCTTAGAGAAGGAAAAGAGAATAATCAAAACTGATAAAGCACTTCCTAATCGGTTACTCTGTATGGTGTCAGGCATTTCAATACTCTAGGAAATGTTGAGGCTAGTGGCTGACTTAAGAACACCATTTAGAAAATAGAAGAATTCACTCTGTATTTCCTTGCCATATACCCATTTCTAGTCCCTATTTTTCATCTCCTATGGCATTTGACTGTGTTGAAAGCCCTTTTATATTCAGACTTCTTTGCTTTTGGGACTCCACTCTTTCCCTACTTCTCTGAGCATTCTGTGTGCATCTTCCAATGAGTCCAACCTGGGTCTCTGCTGCCAGGGTTTTGTGGGTGTGTGTGTGTGGGGTGTGTGTGTGTGGGTGTGTGTGTGGGTATGGATGTGTGTGTGTTTATATTTAGAAAATACATGTTCTCTAGATGACTATAGTACTGTAATTTTGCAGGGTTTGTCCCATCTGGCTGTACCTGGAGTTCATTCCTTAACCTTCTCATCTATAACCAGCCTTATTGTTTTGATCTTATCTCTCTCCTGAGGACTCTCAAATTTATTTCCATCACTGGTAAATCCCACAACCTATAAGATGCATCCACCTGGACATCTCAACTCAAAAACACAAGAGACCCTCAACTGAACTCGTGTTTCCTCCAGACTTTCTTCTTACCATGAAATCTTCCATCCCAGGCTCCCAAAGTGGAAGTTCCTGGGTCCTCATTGATTCACTTCCCTCTTGATACCTCTCACCCTCCTTTGTGGCCAGAACCTCTCTCACACCCCATTGTCATCCTGCTCAGTGACCAAGGTAGTTCCACCTCTTAAATTCCTCTTGTGTCGGCACCTTCCTCACTCCCTCGGTCTCTAGTAGCTCACACTGACTACTGAAGAAGACTTGTAACAAGTGGCATAGTTCAGTCTTTCTCCGGCAAAGAGAATCCCTTAGCATAGAAATCTCCTTTTTCTTTAGCATAGAAAAATCCTGGGTAAGGGCCCCTCCCTCACCAAGATGCATATTATTACTCTTCTGAATTCACTTGTCTGTGTATCCTAACCCTCCTGTAAGCACATATTTATACACTCCTGTCTTTTCCCTATTCATTTGTTTATCCAACAAATATTTGTTTATTTTAGAAACTGTTATTTTTAATCACTCTTAGTTGTATTTTCTCTTTAAGAGGCTGGGAAAGTATAGCTTAAGACCACTTACTGGTCGTTCCTACCCATTCAGTGGCCCGAGCAGTGGGAGCTGCAAACCCATTTTGAGCACAGGCTGAGGGCCCTATCTTCCACTGGAAGCTGAATAGTCATGGCAAGGCCCTGTGCCTTCATACCCATCTGCGACTTCAGAATGGGCTTCCCTGGTGGCTCAAATGGTAAAGAATCCACCTGCAATGCGGGAGACCTGGGTTTGATCCCTGGGTTGGGAAGATCCTCTGGAGGAGGGCATGGCAACCCACTCCAGTGTTCTTGCCTGGAGAATCCCCATGGACACAGGAGCCTGGCAGGCTACAGTCCATGGGGTCGCAGAGTTGGACATGACTGAGTGACTAAGCACACCCAACAGTAAGTCCAGGAGCTGGAGCAGTCCATTCACCCTGAAATCCCTCCTCATCACACACCCTGCTCTTCCTCTCCCATCTGTTCAGGACCTCTGTGGAAGGAAGAGATTGTGCACAGCCTCTCATGGGCATGCAGATGGTGCCAGGCGTCTGCAGAACTTCCTGGGCCTGTATCCACCACATCAGACCCTCTGGGGGAACTCCCTTGCTGGTACAGGTGATGGCAGTGTCCTCATGGCGCAGGGGAGTGTCTTCATTACATGGGGTAACAGTGGGCAGGTGACTGTAAGATGCCTCTGTGAGAGGCTGGCAGTCAGCCTAGGGATCAATAACCACTGAAAGTCACAGCTCCCAGAAAGCTGCCTGGTTCTGAATAGTGAAGGTTCCAGGAGTGAAGCAGCCAGCAATAGGCGTGGCCCCAGTGGCAGCAGCAAACCTCAGTAGAGCCCGGTGGCCAGTATCCCTGGGGAGTGTGACGCTGATGTCAGCCATCAGTTTTCCATGGCAACAATGGCATGAGCCACCAGCAGAAGCTTCTCCCAGGTCCTTTCCAGGATTATGATGTCATGCTACCACTCTTTCCTCTGTAGAGGTTCTGTTTCATTTGGAAGTCACAGTTCATGCCACCTAGAGCTCCAGCCATTGTGAAAGTTGCTCTTTAAGTTATGTGGGGAACCCAGAACCATATTGTATGAACTCCTGTATAGTTAGTGTAGTAAGACCAGCAACCATTTATTTGGTGTCAGCTATGAGTCAGACCATGAGCTCACAGTGGGGGAAGATAAGGATGAAGCAGATCCTGGTCCTGGCTTCATGGAGTAAGGAATCTAGTCTTCATGACATTGCACATGTTATTCTGGCATGCAGATATAGGTCTTTGCCCTGGAAAATGCCTGCTCATAATTAGGAGATCTTATGCTTCCTTCCCACTCTCTGATGGATCATCCTATGCCCCCTTGGAGTGTATGCAGTGCACTTTGAAGACACCTGGACCAAGACCTAGCAATAGAAGGTAAATAGGTAGATTTTGTTGTTGTTGTTGAAAGTGACAGAAAACCCACTCAAACCAGTAAAAAAAGGGAATTGACTGGTTCATATAAACAGAAAGTGCAGAGGTGGAGCCAGCCTCTCAGACTGCAGAGATGTCACTTACATTTCGAGGACTCCCTCTGCTCCTGGCCTCAGGCCTTCTTCCCTGATCTTCTTTACTCTTAGACTGAGGAGAGGAGTGGGATGTGGCTGCAGAAAACTGAAGGCTTACCGCTATTCAGACAGTGACGCCTCTAGAAAAAAGCTTTTTACTCCTAGCATCCATGTAAATATCTTAAGATAGGTGTGATTGGCCCAACTTGGATCAAGTCCACATCCCTGAATAAGTAACCAAGGTAGAAGGATACAGAGGTCTGACTGGCTCGGCAGAGATCACATACCCCTCACTGTCTCCTGCAGAGCAGGGCAACATGCATGATTGGCAGCCCAAGCAGAACCACATGGAATTCTCCAAAGGAAGGTGGGTACTGTGACCAGGAGAAGGAGGGAAATGATGTGGGACAGATAAAAATTTTAAATGCTGCTACAGATAGTGAGGGGGCAGAATGAGATCCCTGCTCCATGATGCTCTCCATTGTACCACACAGCCTGGTAGCTAGATAATCAAATAGAACACCCCTTAGCCCAATATGAGCCTAAAATGGTCCAGGTTCTCATTCTTGCTCATTCTTATACAGGAACTGCTAATGGTAGAGCATTTCCTCACTCCTAATATTTCTTTGTAGGTTTCTTCCAGCCATGAGGGAGTAACAAAGACGGACTTACCTAGAACACTGGATAAAACATATGATACAACAGCTTTTAGACAGTAGACAACAGATAGCACTGGATTATGATCCTTGAAGGAAGGAAAACAAATGAGATGAGCCCCATAAGCCCCTGGCTTATGCCAGGAGGTGATTCTGATCTGTGTTGTACAGATGAGGAAACTAAACAGAGACTGATGATCTTATGAATTGGTGAGGCAGAGACTAGAGTTCAGGAAATTGAGGTGGTGAGGATTTGCAGGGCAGAGTAATGGAGAGGAGGGATCTTTGTAGAGAAGGTCCCCCAAATCTGCACAGTATTCACAGTATCATTGAATATATGAGGCATCTTACATATTTGATGACAGATGCCAGAAGGGTCATATTTCATAGTAGGACTAAACTACCTCTAGAAGAAAAACTACTCTAGCCCTACCTTTAGAAAACTTAAAAACAAGCTTCTAAAAGTTCATCCTGGTCTTTTAATGGCATGCCAGAGCAGAGTGCAATCCTCTTTAAAGGATTACAACAAAATCCAGTACTCAAAAGCAAACTTACATTGTGTCGCATTCAATCAAAAATGAATAGAAGTGCAAAGAAGCAGAAAATTTTTACCCATAACTAGAAGAAAAATAATGGAAATGTATTGAGAAATACAGAGATGATGGAGTTAGTATTTAAAGATACTAAAGTAATTCTTGCAAATGTACTTATTATGTTTAAATGATTTAGAGGAAAACGTGAACATAATGAGGAAGTAAATAGTAAAAGCCCCAAATGAATTCCTAGAAATGAAAAATATTTGAAATGAAAATTTCATTGGACAGAATGAACAATTATTTAGACCCTGCAGAAGAAAGATTTATATACTTGAAGACATAGCCTCAGAAACTATTCAAAATGAAGCAAAGAGAGAAAAAACATTGAGAAAAAAATCAAGTCTCAGTGACCTATGGGACAATATCACATAGTCTGACACATGTGAAACTGTAGTTCCAGAAGGAGAGAAGTAGAAAGAGCAAAAACATTTGAGGAAATAACAGGCAAATCTTTTCAAATTTGATAAACTGTGAATACACAGACCAAAGAACCTCAGTGAACCCCAAGCAGGATAAACACCAAGGAACATTATAATCAAACTTCTGAAACCAGCAATAAAGGCAAAATCTTGAAAGCAGTCAGAGAAATTTTAAAAAGACATTATTTACCCAAGAACAAAGATAACAGCTATACAGACTTCTTGTTAGAAATTAGGCAGATCAGAAGAGAATTCAACATCTTTGAAGTGCTGAAAGGAACAAAAAAAACCCCCTATTAATCTAGAATTCTCTTTCCAGGGAAAGTAGCTTTCAAAATAAAGATTGTTTTTTTTTTTTTTTTTTTCATACAAATGAAAGGTGACAGAATTTGTTGCCAGTAGACCTATGTAAGAAAAGTTATAGGAACTTCTTCAGGAGAAGGAAAATGATATCAGGTAGAAACTTGGATCTACCTTCAAAGGATCTCTCTTCAAAGGAATGAAGAGAGCAAGAAATGATAAACATTTGAGTAAATAGAAAGTAATTTTTTAAAAAGATAGTTGACTGGTAAAAAAAGATAATTGACTGTATAAAGTAAAAGTAAAACTGCAATATTTGGAGGTTCATAATATATGTAGAAATTGTATGACAACAATGGCATGAAGAATGGAAGGGCAGAATGGACATGTATGGCTGTAAGGTTCTTATACATGAAACGGTCTAGTATAATCTGATGGCAGACTGATGTGTGATACCAAACCGCAGAGCAAACACTGGGAGAATAGCAAGGACAGAACTAAGCCCAAAACAGACACAATGGAATCTTGTATCTTTCTGTGTGTAGGGAGCCCCATCAGCATAATACAGCTGGCCTCTCTTCTCTCTCTCTCCCTCATTCTTTTTTAAAATTAATTAATTAGTTAAATTTTGACTGTCCTGTGTCTTCATTGCTACTCAGGCTTTTCTAGGTATGTATATGTACCACAGCTTCCTTATCCATTAGTGGCAGACAGACTTTTAACCAGGGATCACCAGGGAGGTCCCTCTTCCCTCATTCTGCTCCAGGAAATAGCAAGTGGGTTACCTGATTGTGAGTCAGACTTGTGTGGCCCAGCCCTTTTCTCTGGGCACAAACTATCTGCAGGAACACATGTTTCTGCTGTGCCCTAGTGTGTAGGGGAGGCTGGTGATGGTGCACACTTGTCTGTGACTTTGTTGGTGAGTCTGACTAGTTCTAGGTTTCCACGAGGATGCCCACTTACCTGTAGCCATGAGCCTTGTTCTTCAGGATTTGCTTCATGTGCAGTAAATGTGATATTTGGTCTCTATCTGTTTTGCTTGGCCTAATTTCTTAATTGGTTTGTATGTACTAAGTTGCTTCAGTCATGTCCAACTCTTCGGGATGCTATGGACCTTAACCCCAGGCTCCTCTGTCCATGGGATTCTCCCAGCAAGAATACTGGAGTGGGTTGCCATGCCCCCCTCCAGGGGATCTTCCCAACGCAGGGATCGAACCTGAATCTCCTGCAGCCCCTGCATTCCAGGTGGATTCTTTACCACTACCACCACCAGGGAAGCCCCTTAATTGGTTTAGAAATCAGTATTTATTGAGATACTCCTCTGCTCTACACCACAGATAGTGGTTTATCAGTCAGCTCCCTGACAGATCAAGGGTGCTCCCTCTGTTCCCCACCTGCCTCGTGTGGTTGACATGAAACAGGGAGGGAGCGGCGGTGGAAAAGGTGATGAGAAGCAGCCTGGTTCTGGACTCCTGGACTCAGAGGACTGCAGGGGCCTCAGTGAGCCTACAGGGAGGGAGCATCTCAGTTTTCCTCCCCTCACTTCCTGCTCAGAGTCTCCTACACCTCCCCAGTTCCTCCCAGCCAGGCCAGTTATGACAGTGGCACAGATTGGGAGCTAAAGACCTGGATTCCTTGCCTAGCAGGGCCACTACTCACCATGTGACCTTAACCAAGTTATGCCTCTCTCCCCAATCTGGCCTGAGTTTCCTCATCTGAAACAAGAAGGGTTATGCTAGACAGTAGCTGGGCTTCCCAAGTGACTCAGTGGTAAAGAACTTGCCTGCCAATGCAGGAGCCACAGGAGATAGGAGTCTGATCCTTGGGTCAGGAAGATCCCCTGGAGTAGGAAATGGCAACCCACTCCAGTATTCTTGCCAGTATATTCCATGGACAGAAGAGCCTGGTGGGTCACATGGGGCCACAAAGAGTTAGACATGCCTGAGCATGGAGCAGACAGTATCTAATAGCGGCTCCTCTGGTCTTTATCGTGTCTTCGTCTAGATGACAAACTCCAGCCTAGGCTACATGTAGACTTCTATGTTCCATTCTTTTTTTTTCTCATTCTCCTTTCATTTGATGCTTTTTTTCCTAGGTAGTAGCTAACATGGGGAAGATTTCACATAAAAGTTTGAATTTCTAGCTTTTCTTGAAAAAGTCTTTGTTGTCGCATGACAATCACAAGCTGGACTTCAGAGGCAGTTGGTTCTTTTAGGGGTTCATGGCCTCTCCAGGAGGCTGCAGTCCCCACGTGGCCATCTCCATCATGTTGCAGCCTGCTGGCCTGCCAGCACTTGTCCTGGGGACTCTGCAGAGATGGTGGGGAAGCTGTGTTGTGAACCCTGGTCTCTGGATTCCCAGACCAGGGTGATTTCTACTATATTCTGTGGCCAGTTTGACTCTGCCCAGATGGGACAGAAGAGATGATTATTTCAGAACTGCCCGATGTTACACTCCTGGAACCTGGACTTAGAGTGGGGAAGACATAGAACTTCATGGGCTCTCTGGGTCCTGGTGTTCTACGGTGGAGACGAGTGCAGGAAACACAAGTGTAATCAGAGGTCCCTGGTCTTCCTTAGGTCCTCTTCTTCCCACCCCCAACCAGTGGCTGAGCCAAGAGGCTGGAGTTAAAGCCCTTCCCCCATTGACAGCTTTATGGATCGCTCCCAACCCCCCACCAGTCTGGTTAAATCATTGTCAGAGGCACAAGGTCGGGTCACCAGCTGGCTGCCCCATGCCGAGGAGACTAGCGGTGGTGTTAGGAGGGGTGGAGAGCCTACGGGAGCCCCTGCCTTCTACCTCCACAGCCCCGGACCCCACACTCCCCAGTCCTGCAGACCCTGCTTAGAATCCAAAGGGCTCCTGTCCTATTAATAAGTGATGCTGAGAAGTAATCTCAGCTCTGGTGGCAGCCTGGCCCAGGGGAGGAATAAGGGCTATGGGAAGGTCAGACAGACCTGGACTTGAATCCTGGCTGCCCACCAGCTGTGCCCACCAAAGTCAGTTACTGAATGCCCTGAGCCTCAGTTTCTTCACCGGTCACCTAGGACAAATAATAGTCAATAACTCTACATCTCAGGGATTCTGTATAGATAAAATAAATGACAGGAGTGTGGACGTGCAGTAGCAGCAGCACTTAACAGGCTCTCAATAATTGTCCGTTTTTCTTTCCCTTCTCTGAGCCTCAGGGAGCTGCTCCTGGGAGTTCTTGGTTCATCTGTTGAGGCTCTGTGTCATGTGTATGTGCATGCTAACTCGCTTCAGTCGTGTCCAACTCTTTGCGTCCCTATGGACTGTTGCCTGCCAGGCTCCTCTGTCCATGGGATTCTCCAGGCAAGAATACTGGACTGGGTTGCCATGCCCTTCTCCAGGGGATTTTCCCAACCCAAGAATTGAACCCATGTCTCCTGCAGCTCCTGTATTACAGGAGGATTCTTTACTACTGAGCTACGGGGGAAGCCCCTTCTGTGTCATATAGGCAGACTGAACAGCCTAGAAACAAGAACTTTTAGGACAGAAAACTAGAAAGCAACCTCTATTTAAAAAATTATTCTTTTTAACATATACACACTGCTGCTGCTGCTGCTGCTAAGTCCAATGCATGAAAGTGAAAAGTGGAAGTAACGTCGCTCAGTTGTGTCCGACTCTTCGTGACCCCATGGACTGCAGCCTACCAGGCTCCTCCGTCCATGGGATTTTCCAGGCAAGAGTACTGGAGTGGGTTGCCATGGCCTTCTCCAATATACACATGACTATGTATAAAACAGATAATATGACCTACTGTATAGCACAAGGAACTCTACTCAATCCACTGCAGTGACCTGTATGGGAGAGAAAATCTCAGAAAGAGAGGGTATAAGCTTATGTGTCGCTGATTCACTTCACTGTACGGCAGAAACTGACACAGCATTGTAAATCAACTATTCTCCAATAATTTTTTTAATTAAAAAATTAATCTCTTAGACTAGGCACAACTTGCAAAGACCAGCCCCCTGCCTCTCCCTCAGTCCCCACAGCTATTGTGAGAGTGATAGAACTATCGTCCCCATTTGCAGATGGGAAAACTGAGAGGCAGAGTCGTTCAGGGAGCTGCTCAAGGTGACAGAGCTAAGTGTGGGAGGTGACCTTGGCTGTCACAACAGGTCTGGCCATGGGGCAAGGCTCTGCCCTCCCAAAGACTCAAATAACATGGTGGGGGATTGTGGCTACAGCTGAGGGCAGGCTCTGGCTACCTCCTCCATCTCTCACCACCCCTAAAAATGCCCTGTACTTCTCCAGCCCTTTCCCCGACCTGGTGAATACTCCTGCTGAATAAACATATCCTTCTCACCTTTCAAGGCTGGCAGAAATGTCACCCCCTCTGAGAAGCCTTCTCTGACTTCATCTCCCCTGGAGATTTTCTCCTCTCTACTCTTACTTCTATGCTGCTCCCAATGCTCACCTCCCAAGCCCATGGAGCTCCTTATCTGCCTACTCAACAGCTTCTTTCCTGGGTGGAAGCCTGGATGGCAACCCTCTGAAGGGTGGAATCCATGCTAGGTTGGCCTTATTTCCAACCTCTGTCCACGGGGCACCCCCGTCCTACCTCTCCC